CAAGCGAGGCCGGCTGCTCCCCCCTTCGCCCCGGCCGGCTCCGAGGCGGCGACGCTGGCAGCAGAGCGTTTCCTGCGCATGCGCAGGAAACACTCTGTCAGTTTTGAGGGGATTTAAATATCCCCCCGATATTTTGGGGTTTTTTTTCGATTTTTGTGCACACGTGGGGACCGCCCCACGTGTGCACAAACCTCTCCCTGCCCCCCAGGTGGCCCCGGAGCGCGGATTTAGATATACGCACGCACGGGGCCAGTTCAGTATTAGTATATAGATTAAAATCAAACATAAAACGATCTATAACTTGCCTTGTGCTGTCTTTGACAGAAAGCAGAAAAATATTACACAAATAAAATCCCGCTGAAATTTTCTTTTTCCTGTTTTGCTGCAATCTCTATACCCTTCCTAGTTCTGCTTTTCAACGTTTCGGCTTCCCTCCATTTCTTTCTACTTCACATCCTTCTTTGTCATGGCTCCCTCCCAATACTTCACCCTCTTGTCAAAGGTGATCTAGCCACCACACCAGCAACAGGTTTCATGAGAGGCTAATTTAATGTAAAGGCAAGGAGTGAGAACTGTGACCCAGGAAGTCTCCAGTTTATATAATTTCCGCCGTATTCCAGGTGGCCTTGCGCAAACCACAAAAGTTTTAAAACACACTTCAAAATGTTGCAAATGGGTATATGCTATGTGAAAGTAAATGTTAAATGTGTTATGATATCCAAAATAAAAAGTTTTGTGACAAAAAAAAATGTTGCAAATCTTTCCATGGCTTTCTTCAAACAAGAAAAGCTTAAAACAGCATACACTAGGCAACGACTCTGGGGATGGATATGCGTAAAATGCATATCCTGAGAGATCAAACATCGACATCTCATTTCCACATCCATGGCACATGGCAGGTACCCAGAATGTACAGAATGTACACTAAACGCTTGCACGTGTAGCCCCCAGTGGTCCGAATAACACCCCCAAGGACCAATCCCAGGTTCGGGAAACAGCATGGAGGCAGGGGTGTCAGGAGCACATTCTTCCCCTGCCCCTCAGTCCTGACAAGAATTGAGCACCTGTGTGGTGCTTCTGTATGGAATTTCCACAGGGAACTGGCAGCTGTCATTCTGAGCCAAGTTCCCAGGGCAATCACGTGGCAAATTTAACATACCGTTTCGCACTGAGCAATACAAGACGAACAGAAGAAATGATCACTTTGAGGAACTGATTTGGGAGACAGGAGCAAGATATCTAACCTGTGATTTGGATCCAGACAACATTTTCCTCTACAATCTCACCTAATTCCCTTCCTTACTACAGCCACCATCTTACACGGTGGTTTTGCCCACACAATCTCACCTAATTCCCCTCCTTACTACAGCCACCATATTACGCAGTGGTTTTGCCCACACTGGTCGCATGACCCCCAACATAGCCTTCTCTGATGATCAAAGGGGAACCACTCCTCCCATTTTCACCAGTGGAAAAACTGGTCTATGTTAAGCAGCAAGAAAAAGTCAAGCTTTTATTCCATAGAAGAGCAGAAGGAATACAACCCTCCCCCCGTATTTATGAGATAGCTTCAGACATCCTCTCATAACATAATGGATGACTGATGTCTCATTACAAAGCACTCAGAACCACAGGAAATACTCCTTTGCTGACAGGATGATTAAACTAGGTCCGTGCTATAGTCAAAAAACAGGGACAAAACTGGCTTTTTGAGCCACCTGACTTCATTCCATTTTCACAGCTGTGAGCCTTTTTCAGACAGGATTTTTGCACTTCCAAACTCTCTAAGCTCCACTGCCTAGCACCTTTTCCCATTCCCGAGACCATGAGAACCAGAGGCATGCTACCAAATGGAAGATAAAAGTTGTACAGCACTTACACAGGAACAGAAATGCCAAAGAAAGAACAGTGGCTTGGATCCAGCAAAACATCTTCCCACTAACAGTAATTTTTTGATGATTCCACCTTCCCACAATCTATCCCTCATGTCACTCTTCAGCGTCCCCAATCTTCCAGAAACAGCATTATACGAAGAACAGAGAACTGCAGTGGGATGGGGTGTAGGAAAATTCCTCTTGACTGAAAATTTAGTCTGGATCCAACCCATTAAATAAAATGAGGCAGAGGAGAAAGATGCACTTTTACTAAGGTCAGGCCAAAAGGACTAATACTTTAGAAATAGTCCCCTCTTTGTATTCAGAGTACATATTCACCTACCCACTTCATGCGCTTAACCAGAGGAACTTTGACCCATGAAAGCTTACAAAACAAACTTGTTAGCCTTTACAATGCTACAGGACTGAGTTTCTGCAAACTAATACAGCTATAACCTCTGAACAAAATTATTTTTTTACAAATGAGGAACTGAGTCCCAGAGGTAACTGCTTAATCAAATCCAGTCTGTTCAATGAAGGAACACTGAAGTCCTACATCCCATTAAAATGCCATGGGCTTCTTTGAGGAACACACTTATTTGCCTTTTATACAGAAAACTGGGAACAGCAAACTATGCTTTTACAGTCAGTGAGGGCCCAATTCATATGTTATAAAGACAACTTCATTAAATATGTCCAGTAAAATTGAGAATCTAAGAGAAATAGATTGGCTTACAGAAACACTAGGGGTGGAAATAATGTGCCCAAAAGGAAGCTTAACTTAGGGGGTTTGTTATCGCCCACTAGATCAAAGGTTAGAGGATAATTTAAAAACAGCAAAAGAATCAAGGAAAGCAGCTAAACAAAATAACTGCATCATAGTAGGTGATTTTAACTACTCACACACATTGATTCGGTCAATATGTGTTTAAGTCAGGAGAAAGAGACTGGGTTTCTAGAGACTCTCAATGACTGTGCCATGGACCAAATGGTCACAGAACCGGGGGGGGGGAGGGGGGAGCAATCCTGGACTTCGTCAAGTAATACTCAAGACCTGGTAATCGTTGTAAATGTGATAGCACCAGCTGGGAACAGTGACCATAATACTATTAAGCTTCGCATTTATGTAAACAGGGAGTTGCCCAAAAAGGAAAGGAGGAGGAGGAAGAGGAGGAGATTGGATTTATACCCCATCCTTCACTCGGAATCTCAGAGCAGCTTACAAACTCCTTTCCCTTCCCCTCCCCACAACAGACACCCTGTGAAGTAGGTGGGGCTGAGAGAGCTCTGAGAGAACTGCTCTTTCAAGGACAGCTCTGACAGGACTATTGCCTGCCCAAGGTCATCCAGCAGCTGCAAGTGGAGGTGCGGGGAATCAAACCCAGTTCCCCCAGATTAGAGTCCGTGCACTTAACCACTACACCAAACCACTACACAACCACATTTAACTTTAGAAGGAGTAATTTCTCTCAAATGAGGGGGCTTGTGAAGAAAAAAACTGAAAGGAAAGGTAAGGGGGGTCAAATCCCTTCAGGAAACTTGGAAACATTAAAAATACAATCCTGGAGGATAAGATAAAATGTATACCGCAGGTTAGGAAAGGTACAAATAGGTCTAAAAAAAGGCTTGCATGGTTAACGAACAAAGTAATAGAAGCAGTGAAAGGTAATAAGGATTCTTTTAAGCAGTGAAAGGCTAGTCTAAGTGAGGTAAATAAAAGGGAGCACAGGCTTTGGCAAATAAAATGCAAGAGGTAAAAAGGAACTATGAGGAACATTCATTAACATTAAATGGGGACTTTGTATGACCAAGAGGTAAAAGCATTATTGCCTATTACAGTACCGCAGGGCCTGCAAAACAGAGCTGTTCCCCCAGGCATTTGGTTGAGGTGATGGACGTCCAATCACATGGCCTCCCCTGCACAGCGGCCCTGTAAAGTGTCCCAACTGAGATTGTCTATGACTACCGTCTATCAGCTGAGGGACTTAACAGTATGTTATGTCACCTTTCTTAGTTTAATTTCAATTAGTAATTTTTAACGTATTTTAAATCTTATTGTAAATGGAGTTTTGTTGTATTTGAAATTGTGATGTAACCCACCCTGAGCCCATGTACAGGTAGGGTGGGCTACAAATGTGATTAATAAATAAACAATACTAAAAGATGATAGGGAAATGGCAGAAAAACTGAATGCATTTTTTGCCTCTATCTTCACTGTGGAAGATGGGAGATGCTTGCCCACTCCAGCACCGCAGATTTCAAGAGGGGTGTTGAAAGACCTGAGTTGGATTGAGGTGATGAG